AATCGTAGTCCGACTATTCGCTTCGCTTATAGTAGTCCTCAACTCAAAGACGCACTAGTCTCAAAGACGCGAAAATTCATTATTCCTTTCTAATTCTATATAGATCTTATTCTATAACTTAAATTCTAATAAATACGTTCTAATATATATATACTAGCTTCTATAAATTATAATTTAACTTTCGAATATAAGCCTTAATAGCCTTATCGATCTTTTTTTACTAAATTTCCTTAGCCCGAGTAACTCGCTTTAAAATCTTCTTCGCCTTTTCTATAGCTATTTCTTTTATTATAATTAAAGATTTATATATTTAATCTATTAATATCTATTCTTTCTTCTAGATAATCGTCTTTAAAAATATCTTATATACTCGCTTAACTACGGCCTCTTTATAAATAGTCTTAATATTTTATTTAATAATTTATCTCGAATAACTATTAGTAATAGATTCTTTTATAAACCGAGTTAATAGTTATTATATACTCTTTAAAATAATAAAAGCTTAAATAATAAGTAGTTTTTTAAATTATTAATTATATTTAATAACGTCTTCGACTTTATAAAGAGTTCTAGTAAATATAAGAGATATAAACTTATCTAAAGTTATAGCGCGGAGTGCTAGATTTCTAATTTTTTCGAGTATTACTTTAAAGTTATAGAGTATAAAACTAGTCTTTTAAAAGACTAAATATATAATACTAGACGTAAAAATTTAAGTTTTTATCTAATTAAATACTACGAGAAAGTCGAGTTTATTAAAATCGCTACTTTTAAGACATATAGCTGAATCTATAATCTTTATATAATAATATTTAAATAATTAAAAGTATTCTATATCTAATAATTATATAATATATATAAAATATAAGAGAAGTATAAATAAGTCGATCTTTAATTATTAGATAAATATATAAAATTTATAAATATAGTAAAATCCGAAATCGTTTAGAATTAAGATTCTTTATTCTCTTACTTAATAATAATAAGAAAATATATTAAAATATAGTAGCTAGTCGTATATTAGTTTATTATTTAAATATTTAATAGATGAAATAACTAATATAATATTCGAAGATAAGTCGTTTTTATCTTATTTATATAGAATATAAATATCTTTTAGAATTATAAATAGAGGTATACTTTAGTCTTCGACGCTAATATATTTTATAAATATAATATAATTACGATTATCTAAATCTATAAATTATAGAAACTTACTTTTATTTAAAGTAATAATATAATAAACGATTTTACAGTTAATTCGAAAGTTAGTCTTATCTATATTCTAAATATTCTAATATTATATACTCTTCTCTTTATAGCTCTATTAAAAAAATTTATACATTACGCGTATACTCTTAATATCGTATATATTCTTATACTCGATACTAAAAGATTTTTACTTTTATTTATAATATTTAGAATATTATTTTATAAATTATATAATTTAATCTTTATCGAATAATTTAGAGAAATAATACGAATTTAAAATAATTTTAAAAATATACTTAGTAATATTTTAAATATAATTTAATCGAAGTAAATACTTAATATTATCTAGACGATTAATATAGTTATATAGCGACTATTTTTAAATTATAGTAAGACGTATGTGAATAAATATTTAAATACTTCTAGAAGCTTATTCTCGAAGTCGTCTTTATACTTATCGCGGTTTAAGACTATAATACTCTACGGCCGCTATAGCGCTACGAAAATAATTATTCTTATACTTATTAATAGTCTTTTAAACGAGTTTCTCTTACTTAGAATAAGATATAAATATAATATAGTAAAATAATAGTGGATTATAATATGGGGTGTCAAATCGCGAAAAAACGCGTCTTTGAGTTGCGAACTACTATGAGCGGAGCGAATAGTCGGACTACGATTAGTAATAACTTTTTTGTTTTCTATTGAAATTTTCAATTTTTTTTTTAAATTTTGAAGCGCTATTTGCGCTTTCCGAATTTTTAAGAATTATAAAAACGCTTCCCAAAGAAAAAACCCCCCCCCTTTTTACCCAAAACCCCTAAAAAAAAAAAAAATAAAAAAAAAAATAAAAAATTTTTTTTTTTATCATACTATCTTAGTAATTACGAGTACTGTGTTCGGTAATGCACGTAAGGTAGTCCAAAGATCTCTACATTTACCTATCTGAATCCACTAGTGGTAATATTTTCTGCATCACCATGCAATGCGACGTCAGCACGATGATTGACTCTCCATGATCAGATTGAACACGATGCCTTTCCCAGTATCCCAGTATCGCATCCCCCATCTGCCACGACTAGAAATACATTGCCATATGATTTTTGATCTGGTATATCGCTTGTCTCATCGTTGTTCACATATCAACTGTAGCCTCGTTGCCGAAGAAAAGCCAGGATGTCTTTTGGCGTCGGCGTTGGCGATATCTTAGCGGTCTCGAAGCTTGCACGCAGTGTTTGGAGCCAAGTTCGAGACTCTTCCGATCAGTTCAATGCCATTCGCAATGAGTGAGTATGCTATGATGATGGACGCTTGTCCCTGAAGGCTTTCTGTATCAGACGCACAGTTTCCCTGACAGTGTCAACAGAGTTGCTGGTCTCCATCTCGTTCTCGAGGATGTTGCACAAAATTCATCACGGTGTCGGCTCAGCGGGAAGCAGAAAAGCGATCTGTCATCGTAGATAGAAGGAACGCAGAGCCTTCTTGAAGAGATTGCTGTCGTCCTTGAAAAGTACGAGAGTCTCGGAAAAGAATCATCGACGATAGGGCCAAGGCGGAAAAGGCCTTGAGGAAAATACGCTGGGATCAGGATGCCATCAGAGGCTTTCGCTCTCGTGTAATCTCGAACACTACGCTGTTGGACGCCTACAAGTCTAGTCACACAAGGGAGGTATCTCGAAGGGCGGCCGAGAGTGTGGCTACCCTGCATGAACGTATGGGAAGTTTACAGCTGGATCAAGACCAACGAGAGCGGCATGCACTGTTCGATTGGCTGACGACCCTCAATTTCCCTGCACAGCAGGATGTCTTCTTCGGTAGATGGCAAGAAGGCACAGGCCAATGGCTTCTTCATTCAGCGGAGTTTGAGACATGGATGAGCACGCTAGGAAAGACATTACTCTGCAGAGGAATGCCAGGTGCAGGGAAGACTATACTGGCATCCACGGTCATAAGCCATCTATCAACGCTCTGCAGTGACAAAATCTCCGTGGTTTGCATCTACAGCGATTACAGAAAGCAGCACGAACAGACACCTGTCAACTTGATTGCCAGTATTCTGAAACAGCTTCTTCAACATCAGACATCAATTCCCGAAGACATTAGGAGGTGCTATCGCCACCACGCTTACTCCGGGACCTGCCCGAATGCAAAGGAGATATACACCCTACTTCAATCTACAATTTCGGGGGTTTCTGAAGTCTACATAGTCGCGGACGCAGTTGATGAACTGTCTATTCAAGTCCGCCAACCGTTGCTGTCGAACTTATGCGCGCTTCAAGAGATCCATACACTCAATATGATGGTGACTTCACGCTTCATTCCCCAAATATCCCGGGAATTGCGGGATCCGATGTGTCTGGAAATCCGCACCAACGATGAGGATGTTCGCAGATATGTGCAGGGGCATCTCAATGATTTGGCTAGATGTGTCATGGGAAATCCTCAGCTGCAAGAAAGCATAGTGGATTCCATAGTGAATGTTGTGGATGGCATGTTTCTGCTGGCTCGGTTGCATATGGACTCATTGACGGACAAAACGACCTCTAAAGCTATCAAGAAATCTCTTGAAAACTTGCCAAAGGGCTCTGACGCTCTGGACACTGCCTACGAGCAAGCTATGCAGAGAATAGAAGATCAAAAGCCTGGCTTCAGAGATCTCGCGAAACGGACATTGACCTGGATTTCATACACCTACGAGTTGTTGACAGTCGCTGGAGTACGCCATGCGTTGGCAGTAGAAGTTGGAGAATCGGAGTTTGATCAAGAGAACCTCGACGAGATCGAAGATATACTTTCAGTCTGCTGTGGTTTGGTAATCATCGATCCAGAAACAGAGGCTGTCAGGCTGGTTCACTACACGACACAGGAATATTTCAAAAAATTCGGTTCCCGACATTTTCCAAACGCTCGAGAAGACATCGCCGTTAGCTGTCTTACATATCTTCTTTTCAACGAATTTGGAGGAGGCTGGGTTTGGGATGTTACCAAGGAGGGAAAAGATGGAAGTCTCAGGTGGACCACCATGGCACTAGTGAGAGATCGCCTACAAAAGTATCCGTTTCTTCTGTACGCCGCCAGATTCTGGGCATGGCATGCAAAATATTACGCCAGCAGTTTCGAAGATAAAGTGGGTAGATTATTGACAAGATGAAAGATGAAGATCACAGCCCTATCCGAAATATCAGAACTTCCTCTGCCGCCAAAAACCGGTCAGCTAGGCCGCCATCGTAGTCCTCGCTGGAACCCAAGATGTCGCTTGTGCATGCGCTGGCACCCTTCTTAGGCGGCCATGGTGTGGACTTCCTGGTTTGCCAGGCGATCCGAGGCCTCCTATTGCCAAGGTAAGAGCGTGCGGAGGATCTAGCCAACCGTCGAGGCCGGCCATTACTTTGCAATCTCGGACAATTGAAGGATCGGCGAAATCAGGCCACTGGTTTTGCCATGAAAACAAAGGCTGGAATGATTTCCCGGGTTCTAATATAACACTCGACGGAGGACAAGGGAGATCACCGAGGTTGAAAGACTGCGGAGTACCACTTTTGTCTAACGTCGATAGCTGGTTTGGAGCAAAGGATGCAGTGGAGGTAGCGTGTATTGCTAAGATTGAGCCGCAGCCATTGTTAATGGTGATGGAAAAGAACAAGGCGTATGCGCTTGGAGATATGCTTGTGATCAATCAGCATATTGGTTTGACCAAGGCAAATGGAAGAATTACGGGTTTAATCCAGAGGGAATGGTGACTGAGGTTGGGCTAGGAACTGTGGCGAGGCAAGCCGTGTTGGTGGACTCTTGAGGCCAATAGTATAGAGACACTGACTAGAGTCTACCTCAGAATTTTGCAAAATCACGGAACAGAGCCTGAACTTACCGATACTTGTATGGTGCAGATAGACGCTTGGCAGCCCGAGCTGTAACTTGGAGATGGCTGAACAGACTGATTTGCAGCAAAGTTATGATTGGGAAGCAGCCTAATAGGCTGAGATGAGTCGCCAAGATTCAAGTCCTGAGAAGAACTCCATGTTATCTTTTCCCAGAAGCTACAACTGACATGCTGCGCGAAAAGGATAAGGGTTGAGAAAAGCGCATATCGAGAGCATTGGATCCGCATATTGAAGTTGCCCATTCAACGACTGAATTTTTTGAGAAAGAAGGAGCTGTGATCGACTGAGCTTGGCAGTAGAAAGGAAAGAGAATCTTGGGCGTCTTCTATGTATAATGAAGTCACAATTGACGGGGCAAAGGTGGTGTATCGGAGATGAAAGTGCTGCTGCACGCTTTAGGGTTGCAGCATATGTGTATCCCAGACTTGCGTCGAGAGCGCACTCCTGTCGCAGAAGCTGCGGGCTCTCTTGCCTGGGAAATTACATTTCGATTGAACTGCCCAGGAAAGGCAGCATAAAGGCACCTAAGGATCAAGAAAGCGTACGCGCACGTATGGACAACCTGCACGTTGCGGACGTGTCCTCGAAGCGCTTGCGAAGGAAACAAAATGCGGTGATGAAAAGGAGTTGCAGCATACGTAAGGCAAGAAAGGACGTTGAGTGTGCTCTTACGCCCCATCGTCGCATGCGGATGCACCGGATCTGATTGCGAGCGGACGGCACAGCTGCGTGAGGGAGGCTCAGCAAGTTTCTCAATAGGTAAATCTAGCCGTAATGTAGAATTATAGTGAGCCCCTTTCTGTATGTTTTCTGTCCGTTTTTTGTTTTTGTTTTTTCTGTTGTTTGCGAGAGCGCTCTAGACCCAATCGTGTTATTTTCGACTCTGGCAGGCCTGTCGCCGCTTCCATCTCAAAACCTAGGCCCCTCCCTCCGAAACAGGGCCACGCTGTGCTTCCATTCGTATTCACGTTGCTGACGATGGGAAACCGGCGACATGGTATCATGACTCTGTCGCCTGGTCTCTCTGTAAATACCCTGTCATGCTTGCGAGCCGTTGCTCTTTGGCTCTTCGAATACGCCGCTCTGCCCTACCGTCTTTGGTTACGATTAATTGCTGGAGCTCAAGCTCGTCTACTATTGCTGATATCTATCCTACCTGCCATGACTGTCATAGCCAAGGTAACGTGCATTGGAAAGGGGTTCTACATAATATTCCGTCCGTGTATTCTATTGATAGAGGTGGTATTATGGAGAGATGATCAGTGAGTTGTGTTTGAACTATAGATACACTGAGGGCGCTAGTTGAGCGATTGCCTGTCCGGGCGGTTACGACTTGTGAGAGTCCGACTGCTACAGCGGGGATCAAAGCGGGCAGTTGGGCGCCAGTTGGAAATTGTATGAGGTCGATGAAAAGGCCGCCAGTGCCGGTTTGACCGATGATGTCGGCGCCCAAGGTGCCAACGTCGCAGCTGCTGCGTTTGTTTCTGGCTTTGGAGGCGGCACAGGTGTCGCTCTGTGCGTAGCTGACGATGGCACTTTGGAGGGCTACGGTTGATGATCTGGGAGTCAGCATACGTTTCTCAAGATGTCATTTTAGCCCCCAAAACAAGCCTCGGGAGCACAACAGAGAGAAGAAGCCCTTTCTCCGCCTCCAGGAAAAATGTCTCATGTGCAAAATAAACACCCCCGCGGGCTGGAAGGTGATACTCCGAAACGACGTACCGGATGGGAGGGCAATCGCTACCGCGCCATCGGTGCCAGTGGATAAGATGGGCCCGCTGATCTTCATTTAGTATATACGAGACCTCGAGCCAGAAAGCGCGGCGAGAGAGATCAGATTTTGGGAGAGAAACTTACCCAGTAATGGTGCTGGATGCACAGTTCCAGGAAGTAGGAGAAGGAAGCGTGCTGTAGTCACAAGGTGCATCTGAGCCGGTGGTCATTTCCGCATAGATTGTTCGTTGTTGCAACCACACCAGCCTGCATTCGCGATTGATGTGCAGGCGTTGCCTGGATCTGCCTCGTGGGAGCAAGTTGGCGAGGCCGCTGCTGCTCGCGGAGCGAGTGTGATGACAGGCTCTCTTGCTAGTAGGGCGGCGTGGGGCTGCAGGCGCTCGGATGCTGAACAAAGAGACACCGATATGAGTATGAGCCATAATGGGAGCATTCTACCAGTAATACTGATGGTGATATAGACTGAGGAAAAGGCAACCGAGACTTGTGTTGACAGAATGAGGTGTCTGAATCTGTGCTCTCTTTAAGAACATGTCAATAAAACCATGTTCAGCCTTTTCCCGCTCTAAAGACTTTGAAACAATACAACAGGAAAGGATACAGAAATCAGGGCAGGTGAGAATTGCTTGGCCGCCGCACTAGAACCAAGGCTTTGTAAAAGCATAAGGATATAGATGGGGTGAGCAATGAAGCATGACACGGCCGAGATCTTGAGGATCGGAGGTTCTGTTTCAAAAAGGAAGAAACACGAGTTGCCTCTGGTGCCGTGCCGCATAGTGTATCTGATAGCAAAGTTCCATGTGGCTCAATAGTCGATGTATTGTGCTCGTACGGCCGAGGTGATTCTTATCACGAGCCAATCAGAGATCAGCAGTCTCGAAAGTCCCATACAGCTCGCGTCGATTCCGAAGAAAATCATATGGGCTTTTCGACTGACTTTTTCTCCTATACTAAATGACGAGAGCAAGACACGGTTCAATACTCGATACTTGAGAACTTGGTTTCTTTGGTGATGCTTTGTTACCAAGAATGCTGGACCCGACATGAGCGGTCCAACTGGCTGATGGAACCATGTGCACATCATTATCTGACTTGCGCATGATGCAAACCTCGGCGGCACGAGTGAGAGATTCAGGTGCCATTTCCCGCGGCACGGCTCCACGACTAAGAAGAACCGATATTGAAGAGGAAAAGCTCACGTTGGCAAGATGATGGCATATGGTATGACGACCAGTACCTGACCAGTAAGGAATCCCAAACCTTTCTAGATAGCGTGGGTGTGACACGGTGAACCGTCATGTCGAGGGAGAAGCAATAACTTGAAGATTGTTGTGTTTGCTTCCAAGATACAACATAGCCGAAGCAATACGGAACAGCATAAATTGGAAGCGTACTTGAAGGGTCTTTGGTTCCATGTGGAATTGATGCCAAGTTTCATGTGGCTCGTTAGTGGATATGTTTAGTGTTTACCTAAGGTACCATTCCAAGGTTAAGCTTACATTCCGCCCGCGGCACGGTCGGGAAGGCCGAGAATGACAGAATACCGCTTCTCGCCAACGATCTATCCGGCCCACCAAACCTGCACTCTCTGACCCTCCTAGCTGGCGGTCCCAGGGAATTGTATACGCCGCCAACATTCCTCCATCGCAACCCAATGACACATCTCCACACCCTCACAATTTCCGACCGGGAAACAACCATCTCCGACATCTCCACCTACATCACCACTCTCCCATCCCTCCACACCCTCCTCATCGACGCCCTCAATTTCTCAACCCCACCACCAACAATTCCCCCCTCAGCCCAAAGATCCGCCCCACTCCAATCCCTCCACCTCAACTCCTTCCACCTCCCCCCCTCAACCCTGCACGCCCTCCTCCTCCTCCCCCGCGCCCTGCAAACGCTGAACTGCCTCACCCCCGGCCACCAGTTGTGGGAACCGTTCGGGGGCGGTTACCCCGACTCGGAAATGCTGGAGCCGCTGAGTGCCGCGGATATCGCATCGGGTTTGCGGCCGGCGAGGGACTCGCTGGTGGAGTTATGAGTTGTTGCCAATGCGGGGACGGATCGCTGGCCCGGTCGGAAAGAAGAGAGGTTGGATTTGAGGGATTTTGGGAGGCTGAAGGTGCTGAGGGTGGCGAGTGAGTTGGTTTTTGGTGTGAATGGACCGCGTCGAGAGCGTAAGGGGTTTTATGGGCTTTTGCCGTCTTCTTTGGAGGTTTTGGAGGTAAGTATTGCGTTTACTTGTCTCAATAGTCTTTCCCTTGCCGAAGGATATGTATGCCAACACGGTCACAATTCCTAGCTCGACTTCGGCTTCGATTCCAGAATCCTCGGCAGCGAAGGAGAAGAAGAAGAAGAAGAACAACAACAACTAACACCCACTTTCGATGAAACTCAGCCCCAGCAGCATCTAGCAAAGGAGAAAACGAAGTACGCATGGCTGCAGGAGCTCGCCGAGCACGCCGCGGACTCTCTTCCCAAGCTGAGAAAAGTGACACTGAACGAACGTTGGAAACACCCCCAAGGTTTCGCACACGTGCCGTTCCGGTGGGTACTACCGACGCATCTGGATGAGTTGTTCGAGAAGAGTGGCGTCGACGTGGAGGTTTGGATGAGGAGGCCGAGCGATTATGGCAATTTGGACGAGCGGTAGGTGGAGTGGGAGTTGTGTACGAAGTAACGACGAATTACAAACGAAGCCTCGGGAATGGCCCGGGGCGGGCCGATGGGTTACACGTGTGTCGGTATGAAGTTGTCAGTATTACACAGTTCAACGCACATATTTGCAGCACGCGGCAGAATCTGGTAGGATATGCGTGGAACATCGAGCTCCTTCGGCTCGGGGATGCTAAATAGAAGGATCGGAAATCCGTTGCCGTTGAGAGGGAAACGGTCAGCAAGTTGGACGGAGGCAGCATTTGGGACTTTTTGCTTGCCTGTTCGTTGGGGATAGGGTTGGTACTTTGGGGCATTAGGACGATCGTGGATATCGACAACTAACGCGAGAAAAAATAGAGCTCCATCGCGCGCGTCTAATATTCCATTAGTTAGATGTGTAGCGTCGGGAGATGTTGTTGGAGGGCTGATGTTGGAATAATGATAATGATATGAATTGTTTTGGGCGTGGGATCTTGCTTCTGACTCGGCCTGGTTTTCAGTGGATGGTTCAGGAACCGCTTCCGTGAAGAAGAGGAAGGGAGAGAGGGCGTTTTCCAATTTCATATAGTTGTTATAGTTATGCTGCAAACATTGATAGAATTCCTAAGCGATCTCCAACTAATTCCAACCTGGATTTCGTGACACTGCGAATCATCCGTCTTATCCAACGAACCCAACCCTCCCTACCTCTTCAACGTCTTCTGCTTCTCCGCATCCCCCACCAACTTCCGCCCCATAACCACCAACCCCTTCCTCCCCCTCACCCCGTCCACATACCGCCTGCTAACCCGCTCGCGGTCCCCCTTCTCGCCGAAATCCTCGAGCTCCTCCTCCGTCTGCGGCACCCAGAACGGATCCTCGTCCAGCAGCTCGAAGCCCGAGAACACGAGCTGCGGCTGCGCGGCGCCGGACGTGCGCTTGCGGACCTCGTCGCCGAAGCCGAAGGACTCGGCGGCGGGCAGGAGCGAGGAGATGAGGTAGAAGGGCGTGCCTTCCTTGAGGGACTCGGTGAGGATGCGGCCGCGGCGCCGGGAAAGGACCGTGTAGACGCGGCCGAGGACCTCGGTCGAGGCTTGGATTTCGCAGCTGTACATGGCGAGCATGAGGCGGGGACTCCAGTCCATGAAGCCCTGGCGGATGGCGTCGCGGACGGTTTTGATCGTTTCGCCTGTCAGGCGGCCGAGCTTCTCGCGCGCGGAGGATTCGTCGTCTGAGGGGGCGGAAACGGTGACGGATTCGAGGAAGACGGCGACACCTTGCATCGGTTCGTGGCACATGGGGCCTTGGGCTGTGGATAGTTGGAATGCGTAGGATATCTTGTCGGAAAAGTCTCGCGGGGTGAGGGTGTCGGGGTTCGGTCTACTGTTGGCGTCGTTGTTGGCTCCGAGGTCGGTCACGGGGGTTTCGTGGGTTTCTTGGAGACTGTTGAATGTCAGTTTTGTGCTGGAGCGGTATTCTGAAGGAGTTTTCTGACAATCTTTGGCATGTCCCGTCTTGGGTAGCATCGATGAGCAGATTCGGCCCTGTTCGTCGCGGACCAAACGCTGCGATCTTCTCGACTACATCAGCCCAGATGTGCTCCTGGCCTTTTGCCTCAGCGAAGACAGATCGAAGCTCTTCTCTGAAGTCCAATAGAGACAGCATCCCAGTGGCGGCCACCGGTATCTCGTCGGCTTCAGCTTGCTCTTCTACGTTTTCCCCTTCTGCCGTCATTCTTTTCTTGCCCTCTTCTTGCTCTTTCCTTTCAGAATAAAGTCGCCGTATTGCTCCAGCATTCTTCAGCAAGAACTCTGTCACGGCATCCGGCAGGGGTCTGACTCTCAAACGCACCGTAACTTGCTTTGAAGTCGTGACACCAATAACGGTCCCTCGTGGGAGGTCTTTGTTCTTGGGTGGTGACATCTCAGTAGCACTCACAATTGTCTCTCGGTATGGCACAATGGGCTCTCCAGCCTGGATCTCACATTTCGCAAATCTCTCTCTCAAATCCTTTAGACATCGTTCAAGGTGCAACTCCCCAGCTGTCACTATCACATGCTCGCCACTCTCCAGCACCTCGTACTGCGCGCAAGGGTCACTTTGCTCAAGCAACTTCATCCCCCTAATCATCTTCTCCAGATCAGCAGGATTGACCGGCTCAAGCGCAACGCGAACGATTGGCTGGCTTCCCATATTGACGCCAGCAAGATTCACAGCGCCCTCGAGCTGGCTGCAGAGGGTACCGGATTTCAAGACATGACCTTCAAGACCGCCTATGCCGAAGACAACACCCGCGGGTACAGAGGTCAATGCTTCGAGTCCTCGGCCCATAAGTAGGTATAAGCCAGTGACTATGACCTTCTGAGGCTCAGGCGCATTATGCGGATAGGCTGGTGAGAATTTGGGTGGGAGAACATAGACGGAGTCACCAACAGAAAGGGTTCCTGAGTACAGCCTTGCAAAGCCAATCAAATATTCTGGGTCTTCTTTCACTTCGCCTATCGCATTGTCACCATTGGCGTCGGTCAGATTTGACTCATCAAGGGCTTGCGTCATTCCGTTGAGATCGGCTTCTCCGTTCACAGCTGCCTGGGCCTTCTCAAACTCTGCTCGCTTTTTTCGAGCTAGGTCTCTTGCCTCCTCGCCTGTCATGGCACCACCTCCTTTTCGCTTGTTCTGCGGCATTTCGCTTGCAGGCACTGCTACCATCTTGCTGACGTAGGCTACCACTGGGTCATCTTCGCTCGATTTTATATTGACCATTGCTTCCCGAATCATTGGATCAACATGTTTTGCTCCGGGTGACGCGTCAATCAGTGCAGGGAGACGGCTCCCTTGCGCCGCTGGCGGAGCAGGGAGATGCTCGATGACTGACACTAGGACAGCAGTCGATAAAGGCAGCCATGCGGAAAAGACTGTAGTCATAATAGCTCTGGGATCCCTCGAACGTAGTACGTGCGGCGGTATTATGAGAGAGAGCGACTTTGTGATTTTCTCAACCGTTGCCGGATCTCCTTTGCCTTTGCTTCCACCTGTAGTGGCTTCATAAACAGCCCAGATGTTATCAAGAACCAGTTGCACGAACATCGGCTTCAGCGCTCTACCTTTCAGGTGCTTAGAGCCCAATACTCTCTTCGTCTTGGGTTCCAGATAGAAATCTCCCCAGAGAACTTTTTCTAAAATGGAGCGCTTGATGCCCAATTTCTTCTCATAGAGCGAAGCAAACTGCCGGACGGTAAAAGCCCACCCATCGACAGCACTGCTGAAAATGACATTGTTCTTCTCCGGAGCAAAGTAGAGATCCTCATCATCTTTCTCCTCAAACTCACCAGTAGTACCACTCGTAGCAACACTTTCCGAGTCTTCAGTCACAGACCCCTTTGTAGCCTTCCTCTCCGCCCTCTCGACCTCTTTCGCTGCCGCAGCAGCGACCCGTTGCTCAACCCTCTCCCTCCACTGCAGATCCTCTTCCATCCTCTCACCCTGAAAAAAACTCCCAATCACCGCATTCACTTGCTCTAGTAGCTTACTCAGATGCGTAAATGCCTCCCCAGGACTCATCTTGAGTTCTGTAATCAGCCTATCAACCTTATTGATAACCAAAAGCGGCTTCAAATGCTCCGTCCACGTCTGCCGCAGCACCGTGACAGTCTGGCTACAAACACCCTCTACCGCATCAACAAGCACGAGCGCTCCGTCGCATAATCGGCTCGCCGTGCTGACTTCGCTACTGAAGTCGATATGGCCGGGTGAATCGATTAGATTGATTAGATACTCTTTCTGCACAGGAGAAGCTTCCGGCGCTGAGCGACGGAGTAAAGAGAAGTAGAGAGAGATGGCTGATGATTCCATTGTGATGCCGCGGAGCTGTTCATCAGGGCGGGAATCTAAATAGCGGATTTTGCCGGCGAGTTTAGGGGAGATGATGCCATTGGTGGCGATGAGGGCGTCGGTGAGGGAGGTTTTGCCATGGTCCTAAAACTTGGATCAGAATATGTCCTTGAAGGCATATCGAACCAACTACTTACGACATGGGCGAGTATACAGATCTAATTTTATATCAGCTCATGAAATGAATGTGGACATTGGAATGCATACATTTCTGACTTCATCGGCATTGCGCTGAAGCCCGATGAGCTTTTCTGGACTTACGACAGGCATCTTGAGGATTGCCTGACATGTTCGTGCCTTTAAGGATATGAAGAAGATCGATTCATGGGATGGTCCATATCGATTCGGGGATGGTGTTAAGTGTTGCGGTCGAGAAGAAAATCTCGCTTGCGGGGCATGACTCAGACTACACCTATTGTACTTTTAGATGTGAAGCATACATTTTCTCTTTACAATTGTAGGGCATTGCGGGCTAGATTTTGAGGTGCTCATGCTCAATCTTCTTTCGCCTAGGGTGCTTCATTTGCTATGCTACAAACAACGAGATGCTACCAACGCCAGTGTAGAGTGGGTTCTCGCTAAGAAGGCAAGCTAGCCGGACAAGAGACTTTTGTACAAGAAGCTACAGAAGGCTGGAAGATTGCTTGCTCGCTCTCGGCATCGTACCCATGGGGATCCGCCGAACACCAGCTTCCCTAATGAACTTTGTGAAGCGATTGACCTTATGTACACCAGCGGTCCCCCAAGGAACACCCGCAATCACCGCAACCGCGGCGGTATCCGTCGGGCGATGTATGATGAATTATTTGATGACTCGTGTGACCAGGCCGGTGGCGACCTACCGAGTACTTAGAGTCAGCGTTGCCTCTCCAAGACAATTTTCAAGTCACATATGAAAAGCATCAGCAGTATGTTACTCCCGGATCATGGCTAGCGATTCCAAATGCTCTCTATGGAAAAGGAATTCGAAGAGTAGCTTACCGTACGTCCACCCTCCCGTATGTTGAACCTCTGTCCACTCTCGAGGGCGATTGGGTTGTAGATATCACACGTCATCTCGACGTTGTCTCCCGGCATAACCATCTTGGAGCGATCTTCGACGTCCGCTGGCCAGTGTAGAGCGGCGGCTTCATCTGCGTGATGAGTCAGTACGAGTGCATGCAATCCATGCGAGCCAAGGAAATATACCAGCAGTTCTCATGAAAATCTGTGGCCGGTAGTTATCCGAAAACCCAGTGTGGCGGCCGCCCTCCTCCTTTGTGAGGACGTACATTGAGCACAAGAATTGTTTGTGCGCTTTCGCAGAACCTGGTTTAGCAATGATCATGCCTCGCTTCACGTCTTCTCGCTTAACACCGCGAAGCAAAAGTCCAGAGTTGTCGCCAGCTCTCGACTCGTCGCAGGACTTCTTGAAGGTCTCGATATCCGTGACTTTGGTCTTGATGGGATGCTCGCCTTTGCCTACGAGCTCGACCTCGGAATCCTTCTTCAAGATACCACGCTCCACTCGTCCCGTGGCCACAGTACCACGGCCTGGAATGGAAAACACGTCTTCAACGGACATGAGGAAGGGTTTTTCGGTCTCACGCTGTGGTGTTGGGATCCACGTATCCACCGCGTTCAGCAGCTCATCGATCTTTTGCACCCCTATCTCGGGTTGTCGACCGTCGAGCGCACACAAAGCGGAACCAAGAATGATAGGCGTAGTGTCTCCTTCGAAACCGTAGGTCGTCAGTAATTCCCTCATCTCCATTTCCACAAGCTCTAACATCTCTTTGTCTTCTATCGCATCGACCTTGTTGACGAACACCACAATTTTTTGGACTCCGACTTGTCGCGCGAGGAGGAGATGTTCTCTTGTCTGCGGCCTGTATCCGGTCAACCTCTGCTCACGATCCAAATGTCCCGTACGCCACCCACATTTGCCCATCAGAAGCAGCCACCACGATAACAGCTCCGTCCATACTTGAAGCACCCGTAATCATGTTCTTGACGTAATCTGCGTGGCCGGGGCAGTCGACGTGGGAGTAATGCCGTGCCTCCGTGCTGTACTCGATATGTGCTGAGGAGATGGTGATACCACGCTTCCGCTCTTCGGGTGCCTTATCAATTGCGCCATATTCAAGGAAGTTGGCCATGCCTTTCTCAGCCTGTCGTTTCGTGATAGCAGCGGTCAAGGTGGTCTAAATCAAGCATCAGCACTGGTTCTGCGCACTCCGATCTGGCAATGCGCGTACCTTGCCGTGGTCGACGTGACCAATGGTGCCTGTTCGAATCAGCTTCAATTGTCCATTGCATACACCGCTAGTCCCGTACCGATGTTGACATGGGGTTTCGACCGCTCAAAGGCCGTAGCAAGCCCCCGTATTCCATTTGTATCTCTCCCGAAGACTTGCTGTACAGGGTTGACGCCCTTTTGCTGCCGTACAGCAAGTCGGCTCGCCCGTAGTATCGGTACCAATGAGCGGGTGATGACCACCATCTTGAGTCACCTCGCACTTACACCGGAGCAGGATGATAAGAAGTAGAATGGTCGAAGAGGCGTTGACGGTAGCACTACTCCGAAACTTTTGGATCCGAGAGATCGTCACCAAAAAACATTTAGCGCCTCGCGGAAAAGTCTAATATTACCGTAGATTACACGTCCAGCCGGAGAAAAATTACTGACGAAACCTGGCAAAAATACAGCAGTCAACTAACGCAGATGTTATTATTATTAAACCCTGTAATTTTGAGATCTTGAAAATGTCTTTCTACCTTAAGGTACCTAATGATGATTTACCAGAGTAGTAAATTTAAGTACACGTTCTAGTAACATATTTCTAGCGCGTCAGAAGACAAAAAAAGACAGTCATCACAGGAATGTTTCAGAAGCCAGTTTTGAAGATCGTACCTGACCGAAGCCTTCCGTATTTACACTATATGTTCGACCTCTACTTCATACCATTACCGCCACTCTTACTCAGAGTCTCCATATTGGTGTACACGCTGTGACAGCGGCGACTTCCTCGAGGTTTCCTCGTTCTTCGTTTGACCAAAAAGCGAGCGGGCGACAGTCAAGGAGAATAAGAAGACTGCCGCTGCAGCTTCCATGGTAGTGCCAGAGCAATATCCAGACGGAGTCCGTGACGTTGTTTCCGAGATGCGTAAGCGCCACGCGGATGATGGCGATAGCGATCATAGAGATAGAACGACTTAACACGGTCCCTATAACCGTTTTGCGCCGGAGGTTGTTTTTGACGCGCCAAAGCAAGGCGGTGGGTATTGGTAAGATAATGAGGCCAGTCAAGATATCGATGTAGGCCGTCATGTCAAGGTAGATTTTTTCGTGATGAGATATGACGGATGTAGGACATCATGTCTCTGCAAGACCGAAGGCGGTGCTGGAGGTATGCAGAGCTTGAAGTCTCAAACAACTACTCAAAAAGCTGGACGAAAAGTTGGCCAGACCATGAATACCAGAATGATATATTTACAAGCAGCTAGGGCCATGACACCGACGACTACGAAGCACCAAATATTCAAGAGGCCGCACGCGTTGTATAAGGCTGCGAAGAAAGGAAGGAAAGAGAAGTTCACGGCGAATAATGAGGTCCACAGGTGGCACAGAGGCATATCTCTGAGCTTGTGCTAATACAGCGGCTCGTTCAATACAGCAGGAGTCGTCCCTAAACCAGTCTTAGAGCTGAACCTGACTCGGGCGTCACCAACATCGAGACGGTGAGACCGACGGATCCGGAGATAATCAATTCCGAAGGCTTGCAAAGATGTCTTATTACTGTATATTGAGGAGGATCAATCAAATTCTACAACGGTCGTTTTCAAGCGACCAACAAGACTGTGTGCAGCAGCGCTGCATGATGATCTTGCCGTCTAGAATTAGAGAGTGTTTCATGATTAATTGGAAGAACTGCAAGATGCATTGTGCAGGCGGCCTATTCTTCTTTCACGTGCTTTTGAAGTCCAATCGCTTTTAGAGACAGGCGACCAGCACACTCCCATCATCTGGATGAAAGCGATTGCTACCTCGAAATCGGAATCTCAGTGTACGTGATAAATGAAAGGCATGATAAGAGCGAATCAGATTCCTGTCCGTACAACCATCGACGGGCTAGAACGCTGAAAAATGTCCCAAACCCACCATACCGCTACAGACCCCGCCTCAGAAAGGCGCCTTTGAATCTTTTTTGGAATGACACAACATGCTCGGGGCTGATCGTGTGTAGTGTGCGCTATTGGGTTTGGGATGGGCGTTGACCGGGAAGCGAGAGAGCGCATCAGAGCCTCGATGGAGATTGTTTTTCCGTTTCCGGGCAGGCCATGAAGACTGACCCCACGCTGCAATCATCAACTTAACGGATCCAAAACGAGCAGCAAGAAACTGGGCCAGAGCACCTTGGGCCAATGGCTTTGAAGGCAGCAGGACAAATGGGGCCAACGGAACTCGGTACTCACTTACCTTCCAGGGCACTGCGAACGACTTGTAGTCCTCTCAATCTAAAGTAATTTCCGCTTTCCCGTCCGCCTAGTTTGCTATTAAGTTTCCTTTCCCCCTTTCCGCCTCTCTTTAGACAAATTTTCACTTCAAAATTTTGTCTCTATCTCTGTTTTCTAATTATGGTAATATTTTTTAATACGCTCTTGGTCGCACCCCCACTAATTTATATCGTCAATTCGTGCCAAATTTGAGTTGGGTTGATACTCTTCTTCGTAAAATGTCCACGTCGATATTGCTTTTTGCGGTTTAATTTGTTCCGGGGTTAAATTCTTTTGCAGGGACTTTTCAGTTTGCAGAAGTCCTCTTTAAAAGCCTTGAATATCGCTGATGAGTTGAAGCTTCATCTCATGATTGAGGATCACGTTTTCCACTTGCAACCTTGCACGTTCTTCCAGAGCTTGTGGTTTTTGCTCCAATACCCTCGATCATACACCCATATCTCTTCTTTGATCTCGGACAGACGCTGGGTGGCGGCAGTGATAAGGTTGTCCACGGTCTGGGACCGCCCATTTATAACATCCCCTTGGCTTCGTGGATATAGCATGTAGTGATTTTTCACCTGAGAATATTCAGTCTCCCAATAGTCCGCAACGTACACCTGAAAGTCCCGGTCTTCCCAACGATATTTCTATCTCCCAAACTCCACTTTGTCTTTCAGACGGCCGGTGCCCTTCTGGTCATCAGTGGCTGGCTTATAGATCCGTGATGAAAAAAAAAATTCCCCCAGTTTTTGCCAATTTGAGAATCCCTGTCGATTTTTGGTGTCTGCGTAACACTGTAGTTTGGGTGCCATCTGCGCGGTACATCAACGATGCCGATATTGGTCAATATTCCCGATTTCGAGAAGTGACTTCGCAGCTCTTCCATCACACTGGGGTAGGGGTCGCCATCGCAAGGTTGCTGTATTCGCTCTGATGAGGCTGCTGGGGCAATGTTCTTTGCCACGACGTACCTCAACAGGTCTTTTCGATTGCGGGGACGGAAGAGTCGAGGTTGTTCGAGAAGCCGGCGTGTGCGGACGTGGCGGTGAGCCATGGCAGGTGCGACGAAGGCATAAGAGGTTTCAGCCCTATTGCGAGGTTCAGCCCTATGACAATGGCTAATACAAGTCATAGGCTAGGCTGATTTGACCTGCGCATGGCCTACCAGGTGTACAACATTGGAGCTTCACTTTTTATGATATGATCGGGAAGCAGGCATTGTCACAAGATGTCACTCCGATCTAACCGTGTCCTCAAAGGGGCAAAGGGCGCCTACAGATTGCTTGAGCCCTTGAGGTCCAACACAATCTTCAAAGCACAGTCTGTACACGTCCCTGATGCCGAACCTAGATTGCAAGTCTCAATTTCCCCGCTGTCCGTACCAGCCCACAACTCATAGATTATAGTTTCATGATCAAAAGCGCCCCTCCCCCCACCCCGCAAGAATCCATCCCAAAAACTCCAGGTCAGCGATCGCCTGCAATGGAAAGAATGGCTCTTGTCCGCGAGTATGAGATACACGAGGGGCCCGGTCCTGTCAAGACCAACCCCTTCATAAGAAAGCTTCATGATGTTGTCGGACAATGGGATATGGTTGAGGGGCGCGGTCGTGCTGGCTTTGACAAGACCTCCGAGGACCCGCCATGTTTGGTTTTCGAATGGATGGAGCATGTTTTGTGGAACCTGCGCGCAGAGCCATACCGCGAAAAATCTGTCCTTCCCAAGATGATTGCCCGTTCGGTTTTGGAAGCACTCGATATTTTCGCATCTGCAAATGCGATGCATACCGGTTAGCTCTCTCTGTTCTTGAGGTCACTTCGGTGGTGTTAACAAGATCAGATGTCAATCCGAACAATATCTTTCTGTCAAATATTGACAGCGCTTCTCCGGTGGTGAAGTTGGGAGATCTTGGAAACCGTACGTGACTTGGATAAACCATATCTATTTTTCTCTGACGATCTCAGTGATGCGGGAGGGCTTCAACAAATATCGCATACAACCTATTGGGTGTAGGGCGCCGGAGGTATGGCGAGGCTTGGGTTGCTGGCCGTCGTCTGATATATGGTCACTTGGCGTCACGGTTTGTAGTCGCACCCTCTACCTCAGAACCCAGCTAACGGACCAGCTCGCGCACTGGCTGGGGCATAAGGCCATCTTCGGTATTAGTGATAAAGTCGTTGAAGATCTTACCGAATCCTGGTGCATTGCCAAGATCGACCGACTAATTGGCCCACTGGGTCCACCTGTCCAAAACCCGGAGTACGAGTCGGAATTCCGTATGGCTGGTGAATTATCTATGGGCACATATATACATCCTGAAATCGATGGGCCAGTACCTTATATTGACGTGAGCACTCTACGTCAGGAGCTTGAATCTCTATCTGGCCCCAAGGTGGATCCGGGGCTCCTGGACTTCATCGTTTCTCTCCTCATCGTGGACCACACCAAAAGACCGACCGCTGCAGAGGCTCTAAAGCACCCCTACCTACACTCCACTGAAGTCGGAAATGGCGTAACTGCCCTATCAATTGGTCCCCTGCCGCATCTGGACGATAAAGACACAGTATGTAAATGACTGAATGTTCTAGATCTATGCTTTAAGTTGTTTGGCGTGTACGGCAAAACGCCCCTCCGAATACGACAGAAATAGCCGAAATCAAACCCATGACAACCCTCGCTGCCACAGACAACGCCTCCCTGACAATACCGCCCAACATTGTATTGATACTGCCAATTGGAGCTTGAAAAGGCAATTGTGTCAGCTCCAAGACAACTATGGCCCAGATATGATGTCCGTACGGTTCGTGTTGCGAGCGGGCTAAATCTTGTCAGAAAGCCACGCAGGAAAGTCTGAATATATCAAGGATAGAACTTACTTGTTGCTTGCTTGGGTCTGATGTTGCATGAGCCGACCAGAGAGGCCGATCGTTCTCGTCCACTCCGAACAGGGCAATGGCTGGAAACGCCAGATCGAGTCCATCGATAAAACTCTACTTCAGAAAGCGGTAGAAAAAGTGGCAGCGGCGGTCCCGGGATCCAATTTGGGGTTGACAAAGAACGAAAGGACCGCACAGACAAGGTTGTAGTTGTACAGGTGCACTCGAGCAACGGTCCAAAATCCGGGTGCTAAGCCAATATACATAGTTCCATGCCGCATCCTAGTCCAGAGGATCCTTGACTCCACACCACAATCAGCGGCGAAGAAAAAGCCGGGAAAGAAGTATTAGGAAACACGTTCCTTATGATCCGAGTCCGGATGGTCTAAGTTTCTCCACCTGCGTTTAGCCCTAGTAATCCACTAATGTTTAGTAGTCTTCCAGCAGTTCAAAGTAGTAGTCACATCGCGATATTACTATGCAGAATCCGTACCCGGCTTAGATTACCCTTTCAAGTTGGCCTTCTGCTTCTCCGACACATAGAATCTCTGCTCGTAGGCCGCCTTTATAGTCTTGCGAGCGCGGTATTTAAAAATGGCGCGGTGGGATACAACGAAGAGGACCGCATTGTAGATCCTCTGGCGTTTCTTTAGCTCATCTCCAAATAGCCGGAAAGAGCTGTCTGTCGCCGTTGCCTTACTCACTTTCACAAAGACAGGCCTCTTGTAATTCGCATCATACTCTCCGTTGCCAAATTCGAGGTCTTGCCTGGTAGCGTCAATGGCCCGACCACCGAGAGTGTTATGTCCTTAGCGAGCGAGGAGTCGTCATTGTTGAGATAGGCGTCGAAGAGGAGAGGGTGATATGTCTGAATCGATGGAATCTCTGCCGAAGGGAGCAGATCAGCAACAGTCTCGACATCACCTCGGCGAAACTTACCCCTCTCAGATCACGAGGATCTGGACTGCCTTGTCTGGCGAAACGCTTTAAATGGGATGAACAAATAGTTAGCATACGCCGTATATCAGTTTTGAACCAACAGGCATAGCGTTTACTATTGGACAGACCTCCCAACGCGCACGAAATTCTTTGACCACATCGCTGCCTTCAGGTATATCGAAGTCGGTGAGGATTATCATCATTTTTTTTCTGCACCGTGATGATTCGGATTCAGACATCGATGGAGACATCTTTAAAAGAATATTGCTTAAGCTATGATTTGCTTCTTTCTCTACAGAGGGCAGAGTCATAGTCAACGGCATGATCACTGGGCTGAGCTTAGCTCATATACGGAATTATGCTCAGGCTAGCATCTGGGAAGGTTTCCAGTGGTATCACAAGATCAAAGATCCATACGAGAGAGGGCCCGAACAGGATTTGGAGACCTTTCCGGTCGCTGGATGACTCGGCTATGTCAGTTGGGATGAGCAACCCTTTCTTTAGAACCTGTAAGGAAGTAATGCCAAGTATAGTATCAGCCAGCAAGGAGATCCTAAAGCTAAAGGAGACGGAAAAGAACTTCTAAGGAAGTCCAAAGAGGTCCTGAGGTATTGGATTGGGTCCAAATAATAGGATGATTCGTACGAACACGTCATTCGTGTGGGAGGCTCCTGGTAGACGTCACCTAGGGAAAGTCGGATACCGGGCGACGCTTTCATAAGCTGCGTCATTGGTGGGGTACTGAGAGAATCCTACAATACAGGACCATCCAGGCGAATATGCAGGTTGGTCCGTGGCAAGCAGGATTGAGACAACGGTGTTGTAGGCATCAAAGCACCGGTAGAGTCTCACCAGATCGCGATAGATAGCGGCTGCGCCGGACGCAAGCTTGTTGTGGCCTGAGGCGGCCAGCTGAGCGATAGCAGCTCGACGAAATGGGCATTTTACTCCTAGGCGATTTCAATAGACACGATCACCTATGGGGGGGCGAGTCGTTATCGGAAACCCGCCAAGGGGAAGCCGAACCGATCCTCGATCTAATGTCGAACTACAATCTTCAGAGCCTCTTACCAAGAGGCACCCCAACGTTCCAACAGGGGCCGTATCAGACGACAATTGACCTGACGCTGGCATCTCCGGCCCTTGCCGAAGGAACGATTCGCTGCCAAGTATACGATATAGAACATGGTTCCGATCACAGGGCGATTGCGTCTCAATTCGACATTGAAGCACCGCAGCCGGTCCAGCCGACTCGATACCTATGGAAATCGGCCCCTTGGGGTAGGATTCGGGACAGAATTACGGCAGAATTGAGACCGCCGCAAGGATCAATCCAAAGTCAGACGGACCACTTGATACAGGTGGTAGAGTCAGTAGTCGGACCCCTCGGGTAAGGAATTCAAATATCGCTTATCAAAGATCGCTTATCAAAGATCTCGCTTACCAAATTTACTGGACAGCCCTGATCAAAAAAATAGGTTATGAATTTAATTCATGGGCCTAAACTCGTGTGTAATAATACACGAAGGCTTTCATTCAAACGGTGTTTTACTAGGATTAATAACGTTTCGCGACCTTCAGATTAGTGTAGAAAACGCGGCGAATTTTAGTACGAGTAGCGCGATCCAAGCAAAGTAATCGAGCTTTTGAAACTCCATAACAGAGTCTATTGGAACATAAAAGCACCTGGGCTATGAGACCATCAAACCATCTCATAAATACTTCAGAAGCTCTACGGCGAGTGTTCCTACCACCTCGAAACGAAATATCAAGGACGTACAGCACCCGACCCATCCTTCAACGCGCCAACCCTCGCCCACGATGCCTCTCCTGCCCACGCCCCTCCCGTCTCCGCCCTCAACATCCCCGCAATGCATCCACCGACGGACACATGGTGCAGATGCCAAAGTACGGGCCCAAGCCCGTACCGAACGGTAAGAAATTCGGACCCAAAGACGGCCTGGAGGGGCGCCCACGAGACGAAGAGATCAATGCCTATAAAGTCTACATGGTCGGATCCGGAGAGGACCGCCTCTCAGAACCCCGCGTCCTATCCCAAGTCCTCGGTGCGCGCGAGCGAGACGAAAAGGGCCATCCGACACAGTTCGTGCAAGAGGTCGCGCCGCCGAGTGAAGAGCGCCCGTGGCCCATTTGCAGACTGTACGACAAAAAAGCCGCGCGCGAGGCGGAAGAGGCGAAGCGGCGAGCGAGCAAGGTGAATATGCAGTCGAAGCAGCTGGAGGTTCGCTGGACGGTCAGCGATAACGATTTGGGACATCGGATGGTGCGGTTGAAGGAGTTTCTGGAGAAAGGGTGGAAGGTGGAAATTGTTTTTGGGAGTAAAAGGAAAGGGTGGACGAGGAGGAGGCAGGCGGATCCGGAGGAGGCGACGAAGGTGTTGGAGAAGATCAGGAAGGCTGTTGGGGAGGTTGAGGGAGCGCATGAAAGGCGGATGCAGGGAGAGGTTGGGAAAGAGGCTGTTTTGTTGTTTGAGGGGAAAGCAAAAAAGTAGCGAATTGAAGGGTGATTTTCATGGTTGACTTATGGCTCTTTTCCCATAGACACTTCCAGACCCTTCGTACGGCGCCAAATCTTAAGCTGTCATTTTCCGACACACACTTGAAGATTCTGGCGGAGTCTTGGCCGACGCAAGCAACATATCACCTCGATTCTCGAATTCAAAAGCCGAGTACGGTACCCCTTTTTCATGATACAAAAGCAACCCCAAGAAAAATGGAGTACTGCTCCCCTGCCCGAATCTCTTCTTCGCAATCATCCACAGAGCATGACCAGCAATGAAGAAGTGAGTGCTTATTCAAGACAGATGAGAAGTCCAAACGTTCCCATACGATCCGAGGACCACAATGATTGGTCATAGCGATTCCATCCGCCAAAGATATAGCCATTTGACTTCATAAACCCGACTTACCTCTCCATTACCCAACGAAAGGACCCCCGTTCTCCGCACCCTAGAATCCAAGCTGCTTTCGATCATCACTGAGCTCCCCCTCCATATCCGCAAGCTGGAATGAATCGTCGCGGTTGGTCAAATTGGCAGAGGTGAGACGCAAAGAAAAGCAGAAATGGGTATCTGCTTTGGAGAACGACGCAAAGAAACCCTTTGCCCACTTTTTACATTATTCAGGATCGAAAGTGGGAGCAGTACACACGTTCGAATTCCCTACAAAGGGACTAGGCGGCTAAAATACTCTCCGACGCTCCACATTAGCCTCGCTGTTTGGTCGAGTAAACCCAAACTCACGCTTACCGGGAGGTTTGTATCCCCATCGTCGGCTGAGCACCGACCACGTGGAGTCAACAAGGAGAGGCAACAGGCCCAACACAGCACCATTCTTCGAGGCAAAGATGCCTGCTCGGACCACAAACGA